CTCCACCAAAGCCTTTCCAGTTCGTCAGTTTCCGCAGCTCGAATCTCCGTCGGCCTCGACACGACCCAAAAGAGATCAACGGCCATGATCAATCGGTAGGGTTAGAGACCAGAAGCAGCGACGACGAGACGCCTGAGCTTCTCTTGTGGTTCTCGCCGGGGACCTTACTTTCACCTCTCTCTCTTCTTTCCTGCTCCCCCCCTGGGCGTTGAACTAAAATTGCTTTTCCCTCTTTGCGTGGGCATTGAAGAGCTTCATCTGCCATCTTTGCATCGATAGCTCAAGTTGTATATACCCGCGCTGGAGGAGACAAAATCCTCCTCTTCTGTCTCTTCCCTGCCTGGCGTCACGTCCGTTTTCGACTACCTTGACACAAACTCCGCTCCGCCCGACTCGAGTCTGTTCTATCTTTACGCGCAAGCGTGTACCCTGGCCTACCGGGCTTCGTATCAGGCATAGCCAATTGAATCAAGGTCAAAGGACGCAGCAGAACAGATACGAATCTATTGCTGGAACGCGCACCGAGTCTCTTGCAATCCTCAATCACTCTCCTGTTCATCCTGTCTGCCGACGAATGGTCCGTCTCCCTGGATCGCCCACCGGCCAGAAACCCAATCCACCCGCCTCCCAGCAACCCCGGGGCCCATGCTCAGCCCGCCCCCCTCCCCTTCCGTGTACATTTCTACTGAATCATGGCCCGACCCGGCCCAAGGGTCCCTGCTTTTTCCTCCTACAGCACCATTGACGACGACGGCCCAAATCCCAACGACCCGTCGAGCCTGACTGGAACGACATCTGACACTCGATCGCGACGGCCGCGACACGCCGAACGAGCCAACACGGAGCCCATGCGAAGGGCCCAATCTATCGACGGCGTCGCCACGCCCCAGATTCGCGTCTCGAGCGATGGCCTGCAGGAAGATCTCGCTCGCCAGCAACCGCACATGTCCGACTCGTCCGCGCACCGCCGAAGTCAAGTCACCATGACGGGCGATCCCACCAAGAACGTCGACGTTGCCGTCTCCCACTCGACCACCGACGACGAACCCAAAGCGCCCCTCCCCAGCCAGCGGCCTCACCTGACGAAACGCATGCAATGGCTCGACAGGAGAGATGCCGCCGCGGCCCGGGCTCGCAAGCTCTACCACAAAGTCGTCGTCGAGGGCATCTTGCGCCAGAAGCCCCTGCCGCCGAGCGCCGATGCCGCCACATCCCCATCACGCCTGGCAGGAAACGCGCCGATCTCCTGACCGACGAGCGTGCCCAGAAACCGTACACAGGCAACTTCATCCGTTCGAGCCGCTACACCGTCTGGGACTTTTTACCGAAGCAGCTGATCTTCCAGTTCAGCAAGCTCGGCAACGCCTACTTCCTCGTCATCTCCATCATGCAGATGATTCCTGGACTGAGCACAACGGGTCGCTGGACGACGATAGCGCCCTTGATGGCCTTTGTGTCACTGTCCATGGCTAAAGAAGGCTACGACGACTACCGGCGATATCTGCTCGACAAGGCCGACAACCGCAGCGAGGTTCTCGTGCTCGGCGAGGATACGAGGGCACTACACCGTGTCAAGAACAAGACGAAGAAGCACAGCGCGGCAAGGACGGCGGCGACGAGCTGCCCATGCATGACATGGCCGAGTCGCAGGTCGCCCGAGACGGCGACTGGTCCTTGGTGCAGTGGCAGGATGTCAAGGTTGGCGACATTGTGCGCCTTCGACGAGACGAGAATGTGCCGGCCGACATAGTTCTCCTGCACGCCACGAACCCGCACAGCGTGGCCTACATTGAGACAATGGCTCTCGATGGCGAGACGAACCTCAAGGCGAAGCGCGCGCTCCCCGTGCTGGCCGAGCAGTGTGGCACGTCCCAGGGACTGAAAGCCTGCGATGCGACGGTCGTGTCTGAAGACCCGAATATCGACCTCTACCGCTACGACGGCCGCGTGACCATGAAGGAAGAAACGATGCCACTTTCGCTGAACAACGTGGTGTACCGTGGCTCGGTCGTTCGCAACACGACCGAAACGATCGGTCTCGTCGTGAACACGGGCGAGGAGTGCAAGATTCGCATGAACGCCAGCAAGCACGTCCACGCCAAGGCGCCGCGAATGCAATCCGTCGCGAACCGCTGCATCATCTGGCTGGTCTTTGTGCTTCTCGCCCTCAGTGGCGGCCTGACGGGTGGCTATTATATCTGGCGAGACCCGCAAGAGGACGACTCATGGTTCCTCGGCGGGAGGACGCTCAGCTTCAAGGAAGTCTTTATTGCGTACATCATCATGTTCAACACCCTCATTCCACTGTCGCTGTATATTAGTTTGGAGATCATCAAGGTGATCCAGTTTTACCTCATGGGCGATGTGGAGATGTACGACCCCGTCACAAACACACCCATGGTGGCCAACACGACAACCATCCTCGAGGACTTGGGCCAGGTCAACTACGTCTTTTCCGACAAGACCGGCACGTTAACGGAGAACGTGATGCGTTTCCGCAAGATGAGCGTGGCCGGCACGGCGTGGCTGCACGATATGGATGTCGAGCGGGACGAGGAAGCCAAGCAAAAACTTATCGACATGGCGCGCAAGAAGCGCAAAGGCAAGGACAAGCAAAAGTCCGAAAAGAGCAAGGCCACGGAGACGAACCCAGGTTCGACCCAGCCGGGCCGTCAGTCCATGTCTTCGACAAGGTGGAAGGCGTCGACCGCGCGCGCCGAAGATGAGCCTGAACTCAAGACGGAGGAGCTGCTCGACTACCTCCGCCGTAAACCCAACACGCCATACTCCAAAAAGGCCAAGCAATTCTTGCTGTGCCTTGCTCTTTGCCACACCTGCATTCCCGAGGTTGGTAAGGACGGCCAGACTGAGTACCAATCTGCGTCTCCGGATGAGCAGGCCCTCGTTGAAGCTGCGCGCGACCTGGGCTACGTCATGATCGACCGACCTAATCAGGAGGTCATTCTCCAGCTCCCTGGCCCCGACGGCAACATCGTGCGCGAGACGTACCAGGTCTTGGATGTCATTGATTTCACGAGCAAGCGTAAGCGCATGTCCATCATCATCCGCATGCCTGACGGCCGCATCTGTGTCTTCTGCAAGGGTGCCGACAGCATCATCCTGCCGCGGCTGAAGCTGGCCCATCTGGCCATGCAGAAAGCCAGTGCCGTCGAGCTCAAGGCGAGCAAGCATCGGAGCATGGAGCAGGGCAAGGAGCAGAGGCGGATCAGCAACAGCACGCCGCGCACGAGCATGCCCTAGGCCGGCCCTCCATGTCCAAGCGGCATAGTCACCTCCTGGACGGCCACCGCATGTCGATCGAGGCAGCCGGCGGGTAGTGCCCTGGTTCGAAGGCTCGTTGCCGTGGGGCACCGGGAGGGGATCCTTGGAGGACCAGGACTTCCACACTCCGCTGCAGAGCCCCATCGGACTCATGTACTCGCCCCGGCCCAGCACGACCTTTTCGC